TATTTTGAAACTGACAATATAATCCCCTCAGTAGAAAAGATATCAGAACAGAATGCTTATCTTTGATTTTCACCTTACCTCCTAAAGCATATAAATTAGTTCTTTTCTGCTCGTTAAAATTATGCTAAAAATACATGCCAATTTCCATAACATTTTATAAGCTTCTGTGGAAGTTACGCCCTTTTATCAAGTGAATGAGTTAAAAATGTTTATTGAGTGAGTATTGAATGGACTATTCTTTTTTTACTTCAGAAATTCCTTTTTTCTCACTTACTACAAGACACTGTCCCTTCATTTCCAGTAAAATAGCAACAAAAGTAAGTGACATTGATGTTGATGAAGACTACTGAAAAGAACTAGAATAAGTCTTTAATAGTGTTTTATTTCAAATGCATGTTCTCCGATCATTAGAGGAGAAAATGTATAAATCTTGAGGAAAAAATGAACCAGTTACTCTTTACTAAATGGAACTGACATTTAGTGCTTGGAAATGAAGTAAAATGATATGTACATATTTATAAAATTCTAAGAATAACTTAAACACCTAAGTACTTTGAAAGGCTTTCTACTTTATCATAAAACAAAACAAGGGGGGAACGAAGCATTTCATATGTCTGCAAAATCCAATTCATGGTGAAGTGACATCCTTGAGATTCTGCTTCATTTTTCCAAAGGCTGCTGAAGGTCCCGTGCAGACAGCTTCAGTAGCTTTGTATTGTCAATAGTCAAGACAAATCGAAATTCTTGAGGTATAAAGTTCTACATCCTTAAAACTTTAAGTGAGAAATGTCTGCTTTCAGCTTCTACAAAGGAGATTAAAGATGGGGATTTAAGTCTGGTAGACTTATCCAATATACAAACTCGTATGCTGCCAGCACATCGGTGCAAAGCCTAGACAGTCTTCACCACGAAGTTCAGACCTGAAGGGCCTGTCTGGCTCTCAGCTTCCCTGGGATATTAACACTCACACTCAAAAGTGAACACCGATCACCTTATATATGAGCTGCTCTATCATGGATATTTATTACTATTTACTTCTACACTATGTATTTATTTTTTAAATGTGCTATGGTTTGAATGTGTCCTCCAAAATTCATGTGCTGTGAACTTAATTTCCAACACAACAGAAATAGGAGGCAGGGCCTGATGGGAGATGTTTAGGTCATGAGGACGGAGTCCTAATGAATGGATAAATGCTACCAGTCGAAGGGCGTGTAGGAATGGCTTCACTCTCTCTTGCCCCTAAGCATTCCACTATATGAGGCCACAGCAAGAAGACCACCCCACATGCCAACACCTTCATCTTGAACTTTTTCAGCCTTCAGAACTCTGAAAGAATCAATTTCCGTTCTTTGTAAATAACCCAATCTCAGGTATTCTATTATAGCAGCACAAAACATACTAAAACAGAATGTCTAGACTGTTTTTTTCCTCAAAGTGGTTAAGGAATTACAGTTAACAGGAGTCTATAAACTAACAGGAAATAAAAGCAGAACAATATATGTATATAAATTAAATGAAATGTACATGATCTTAATCGCTTTTCTGGCCCTTTCTATTGGTGTTGTATTCATGGAGGTTTTGAGTTTATTAAGTCAACAAAATGTTTTCATTGGTCTTTGGAGATTTTTCAGAACTCTGGTTATCTAAGCAATTCTCAAATTGCATTAATGTCAAGTGTGCCCAAATATATTCTATGTATTTTCACAAACACATGAAACTAAACTTCTAACTCTAGTGTCTCAGTGTGTCTAATCCACTTTTAGCATTTAAAAGCTCTGTGGACATCCCTATATCCTTTGATAAGGTTGTCACATTTGGTTTACCTCTGACTCTCTGTAGAGGTGAACCTGTGCACCCTCTGACTCTAAGCCTGGTCCTGGCCAGGGAAAGGACTCTGGATCTGTATCACATTTGTCCTGATGCTCATCTTTATACTTGCACCTAGACATGCTGCTAGGTTTCCATTTCCTGTAATCCAGTCCCCTTGAGTCCAGTTCCAAGGTCTGTGACCCCTGAGAGTGTGCCTGGATTTCTGTTCCTTCCTACTCTGCTGATTGTCTTGGACTCTGCTTTTCCAGCTGGACTTAGAATACTTGCATTCCCCTGCCAGTATGAACTTTCTGTTGCTGTTTTTCACATTCTCAACATCAGATTCCCTGATCTAACAGAATTTCTGGTGCTGGTGTTTCCTGGCTGCACCATCTTGTCTTTCTGTTCCTTATCCCCAATCAAACCCTGACTCTGATACTCACTGTTTAACTCCATGATTGCAAACCACATTTGGGGTTTGTGATGGGAATGCCACCTCTCCACCTTCACCCCAACAGAAGAAAGTATTTTATCAGTAATATATTGCAGAGTTGCCTGGGCACGATGATTTTAGAAAATCAGATAACCTTTTATCCAGTTTCATTATTTTAAAAGTGTACCTCTCATTGCCTGCACCTGGGACCATTGCTCCCACTATCCCCACTTGGTGTGCTAATTCTCCATAGGAGAAATGAAGACAGAAGGTGCTGGCTGGTTTCTGATAAAGAGAAAGGGCAGCAGATGGGAGAGTCCCCAATTTTAAAGATATAGCTCCTCAGACCTCTGAACTAATTGCAACTAAGAGAGGGTAATAGATCTGGGTAAGGTGGTCATAGAGTTTTTCTCATCACTTGATGGTATAACTATAGTTACTGATCATGTAATGTAGTGTTAAAACAGTTTACACTCTTTGCTTTTATCATTTTTACCTTTGTCTTGATGACAGGCTAAACTTGTACAAAAACTGTAGGCTTTAGAATCAGATAAGCCTCAGTTTAAATTCTGATTTATTAGTGATATTATCTGAACTGTTTAACCTTTCAGAAACTCACTTTCCTTACATGAAAATGGAAATAATTTCACATATTAGTGATGGAGGGGTTAAATGAGTTCATTCATATTTTATTCTTTTCTAAAAAGCTATGGGTACATTATTATAATATATAACATACATACATATATATTATATATAATATAATATATATTATACACATACACACAAACACATACAAACATAATCACATAACACACACCCCCATATGTTCAGATACACCTGTCTGAGAAATACTGATGGCAGCTAACATTTGCATTTACTACTATACTCCAGATGTTATTTTAAGTGCTTTCATATAGAGGCCGATTGAAATGCTAACAATGTAACTATGAGACAGATACACTTATTACCTTTATTTTGTAAGGTATAGAACTGAAGAAAAGTGAAGCTAAAAAGTGCTTAACGGTGAAAAGATGAGAACTCTAGGGAGTGTATTAAAGACAGCGTCGGGATGCTACAGCCTTGGCGGAATGGAATGAGAGGAACTGGAGAAGGATTCATCCTCTCCCTTTGCTTCTTCTTATCTCAAACCAAAGAGTTTGCCAAAGGCAAACAAATAAAATGAGGCAAAGCTTACATTAGGTCATTTCACTATCCAATGCCATCATCATCATTATTATTATTATTATTATCATCTATATTCCATTTAAAAGGTTACTGCTTCTTTATTATGTTCATTCTCTATAATCTGAGAAGCCAAATATTATATAATATATAATTTATGCTGACTTTTCACTGAAAATTTGCCTTTCTAATTACAAGAGAATCAAAACTATAACTATGCTTCCTTCAATTTATCTAGCTCTTAGTAGTCATAGGTCTGTAACATCTTGGCAGTCAAGCACTGTAAAGAGGCTTTAATTTTCTCAGTGATTGAAAGATGCACTGTAAAATCCAAAGCTTCTTCACCAACCTCCTAATTTATAGTACACTTGATTATTTTAACAGAACATTCTTATTATGGCCGAATTTAGCTCAGTTGTACCACTGAAACTATCATTTGTCACTATATCATCTCCCTAGTGATAGGAAAACATGGAATAATAGATGATCAAGAGGGGACAACCACAAGTTTAGAGACTAGGGCTTTGTTGAGTAGTAGCACACTTTGAACGTCCCCTGCGGGCCACTCCCTCTAGTTCTTTTCTCTGAGCATTCAACTCTATCGGGTTTCCTTTCACATTTCTAACACAAAACAAACGTGGGCTATACATTGTTTTTTTCTGTGGTGTGATTATTGTACATAATCCCCAAAATTATACACATATTTTGAATCTAGCAAAACTCTTTCATTTTTAAAAATCAGAAGATTCATGGTCCTTAAAAAATGTATATAGCCTTTGGGAATTTTAAATTTCAGTAGCAGTTAAAAATTTAGAAAATAGTTCATAGTATGAGTATGAGCTATGATACTGTGCAATCCATGTGAATTTCTATAAAAAGTTATTCATTAAGTAGATATGGGACTGAGTTACTCAAGATATTGCTATGATTTTAATAACAAATTAATAAGGAGGTCACCAAATCAAACAAACAAATGGCAATTGGGACCCATTTTGAAAGTTTTTCCATTATGTAGCTTGGAAAATTAAGATGCTTCCACTAAAAACCATCGGCCCTTTGGGAAATAAAATATTTACATGTATTCATCTAGAATTAAAGGGATCTCACTTAGTTGACAATGCAATGCAAATTGCTTATTAGCCATATGTAACTGATAGTGCAATGCACATTTTAACATAACTTGCTATTTCTATTTAACTGTCAACAAAAAATTCATAGTTTATACGGGAATCCTCTACCCTAAGCAAGAATAATTACGTGGTTAAAATTGCCTAGAATACAGCAAGTTTAATTTTTTAATAACAATGAATTTAGAGGACAGGGCTGTACAGAATATTTCCTTACTGAGCAATATTATGATTCACAATTACCTATGTCAATACTGTAAATCAACTTACAATGAAAGTTTACTCATAAAGCAGAAATACCTGTACTCTGTATAAAGATTTCTAAATTAAAGAGGTGTCATTTACTATCAAATTTAAGTTTAAAAACAGTATCCTTGTGATTTAATTAAGATAATAATTGACTATTAAGTAATATTTATCTATAACTAACTAAACAGCCTTACCTTATAGATATCCAGAAATCCACACTGGTGGTCAAATCTGGTGTACAGTTCGTTTAGCATGCTGATCACTTGCATGGGAGTACACTGGGCACATATGGCTGTGAAGCCGACAATGTCTGAAAAGAGCATGGTGACATCATCAAACTTCCTGGCCTGCACTTGCTGCCCTTGCCACAACTGCTGGGCCACATCGCCAGGGAAAATAGAATATAGAAGATCCACTGTCTTCTTTTTCTCTTCTTCCAGGGCCTGGTGAGTTCTTTCTAAAGTTGCCTTTAGTTTATCCATCCTCTTCTTCAAGCCATCCTGGGCCTTGGCCTGCTCGCCCACCAAAATGACATCTCGGGTGGCATCATGGATGGGGATGTCTGAGAGATGCAGCCCTCGGCCCATGAGTTCATCCAACTTGTCCACACATGGAGAGCCCAAAAATAGAATGGAATTTGATTCTGGGACATGGATCATTTGCCCTTTGACTTCCATCACCTGAGAAATTAACATGAAAGTTTGATCAGTACTCTTTACATGGCAGGTTCACAAAAATTAATGTATTTTATTAGATCAATAGGAGGAAAAAGAAATGTTTCACTAGCTATACTGGCTTACTGCATTCACATACGCAAATTTAAATCTGATTTTCAGTCAATGTAAGATTCATGGTTCTGCATAGAAACAATTGTCTTGTGTCTCACTCAGCCATTTTCTAAAGACAATAATGAAATGGTGTATGAGATCATTGAAACACGAAACAGAAAAACATTTTTTATTCAAGATGAAATTACTCCCAGGTACATCATGAAACTGGTTTATGAGCCAATTCAAAAAGCTTTTAGCTTGCTTAATAATAATAGAATTAGGATAAATCCATCTGTCAAAATAACTACATTTAACTGTCATTAAAATAATACTCCTTTCAGACAGAAAATCTAAGTTATTAAAATGAATCAAAATAATTATTTGGCCTTATGTAAGTCATTTTTCAACTGGCTGTGGTTCTTTGAAAATGTAGCAGTCATTGCACTGACTAGATTAGTGGAAATTCACTCCGTTTTTAAAATAATAATATAAACCAGATATTATTAAGCCAGTACCACTAGAAAATAACTATCACTCAACTAACTAAGAATAAATAAAAAAAAGATACCACTAAAGCAATTTCATTAATAAGATAAGGAATCTGAGGGTGTAGTATTTAAATCTATTCCTACTTTCTGTGCCCTTTCACTGGAGAATTTGGGGAACTGATGTTTAATGGAAAACTTAGTAAGCACAGGTGTATGCTATTTTAATTTGGTAACCTAATGAAGACCTCAGAGAGGATGAGCCCCAGTAGAAAAGGAAGGTGGATTTAGGGTATGGCTATCCAAACATAGCTATTTGGGTTACAATAAGGTATTTCAGCACACCTGGAGAGAAAGCTAGTTGCAATTACTTGGAAAGAACAGGCTAAGAGTTGAACAGCCGAAATGGTGTATCAGTTTCATCTGTGTCACATTCCACTACCACATAGGAGGTGCTCAATATATTTATTTCCCTTTCTTCATCATAGCATGAAGTATTTAGGCTAGTTGATAAAACTGGAAGCATTGAACAAATATGGGGTAAACTATAGGGATTTGGATTTTTAAGTTTGCAAATATTTTTACTTTGCTCTCCTGTGTCACTCTTGAGAATCTCATTTATATAAGGAAATAAAATTGAATTCTGGCTTGATGTTATAATTTTGATGAAATGAAATGGTCACTTTAACTTATGTAAAGTTTCTGCTAAAGTTTAGTATTTCATCCTTTTATTCATATTACTTTCATTTATTCACTGAAGTATTTATTTTCTTCTATTTACTAGTACTGCTCTGGATGATAAGAACAAAAATGTAAAATATGTTCTCCTTTTCAAAGATATCACAGTATGGTGGGAAACCAAACCCATATAGGTCTGAGAATAGGATGAAGAAGACACTGCCAATTCTCCACCTCAGGTGATTTCTCAAAAGACTGCAGGCTGTGGTTTGAATGAAAATAAAATAATTGTCCTGTAAGGTATTTACAGATTGTTTTATATATAATTGATATGCTTTTTTGGAGAGAGGTATTACTAATGATATATACTTCCCCATTGTTAGGTTATTAAGGGAATAGCAAAGAAGATATATGTAATGCACAATCCCATAGTTCAAAATTAGTACATAAAATTCTTTCTTAAGATTTACAAAAAGAGTAAAAACCTGTGATAAACTTTGTAGGGATAATTATTTTTAAATGGTAATAATAGCATCTGATGCTCATAGATTTAAACTTATATCTAGTCTAACTTGCTCTCTCTCTCTCTCCCCTCACATTTCTTTCCAATTATTTTCTTTTTCTTCCCCATCTTGCTTTCTTCTACCTTCTCTCTTGTGCTTTTTGGAGTTACACTTTTTTCACCCTCCTCTCTTCATTTGGTCTTTATTTCTCCTTCTGTCTGTCTGTTTTCCTCATCACTTGGCCAAACTATCCAGGGTATAATAGAAAAATCAACCATCATAATAACCAGGAAAATAAAAACTTAAATGAGAAAAGACAAAATTGATGCCAACACTGAAATGAAACAGATGTTGGAATTATCTGTCAAGAATTTTAAAGAAGGAATCATAAAATGTTTCAACAAGTAATTACAAGTTCTTTTAAAATGAATTTTAAAAACCCCAAATCTCAGTAAGCAAATGAAGACATAAAAATAACCAATGGAAACTACAGAACTGAAAAAATTATAGCAATAAAAATAGAAAACTTGCTGTACGGACTCAAAATTAGAGTGTAGATGACACAGGATAGAATCAGTGAATTTGAGGAAGTTTAATGGAATTTACTCAATCTAAACAACAGAGAGAAAATAGACTGAAAAAAACATTTTCAGGGACCTATAGAGGACAATACAAAATATCCCACATTCATATCACAAGAGTTCCAAAAGGAGAAGAGAGAGTAGAGGTGAAATAACATTTGAAGAAAGTATGGCTGAAAATGTCTCAAATTTGGTGAAAGACCTAAACCTACAGATTCCGCAGGCTACATGGACTACAAATAGGATAAATTAAAAAAAAAAAAAACATCAACTGCAAAAGACATCAAAACTAAACTTCTAAAAGTTAAATACAAAGGAAAAATCTTGAAAGCAGCCAGAGAGAAATGACATATTACTTAAAGGGAACGCCAATTCAAATGGCAGCTATTTTCTCATCTGAAATTCTAGAGGCCAGAAAAAAGTAGTACATTATTTTTCAAATATTAAAATAAAAGAACTGACAACTGTGAATTCTACATTTGGGGAAACTCTCCTTCAAGAATGAGGGAATGATGCCATTTTAACACCTGGCAACCAATAATCTGTTCTTCATTTCTATAATTTTGCCTTTTCAAGAGTGTTTTATAAATGAAATCATATAGTATGTGACCTTTGAGATTGGCTACTCAGTATAATTCTCTGAAAATTCATCCAAATTGTTTTGTGTATCAACAGTTCATTCCTTTTTATCGCTAAGTGTAGATATGGATGTACCACACACAGTTAATTTAACCATTCACTTACTGAACAATATCTAAGTTGTTTACAGTTTGGGGATGTTATGAATAAAGCTGCCACAATATTCATGCACGGGTTGTTGTATAAACATAATTCTTCATTTCTCAGAAATAAATGCCCAGGAAAGAAAAAAAAAAAAAAAGAATGAAGGGGAAATAAAGATATTTGCAGAAAAACAAAAGGTAAAAATCTTTGTTATAGTGGACATACTCTTAAAGAATGGCTGAATAAAGATCTTCAAACAAAAAGAAAATGATAAGTTAAGAATCTTAGAGCATCAGGAAGGAAATATAAAGAACAGAAAGACTTGAAATATGTGTAAATACATCTGATTATCCTCTTCTCATGATTTTTCTAAACCATATGGGATGACTGAAACAAAAATTATAATACATTCTGTTACTCATCATGATTGTCCTTACAAGACAGGCAGAGAGAGATTACACACACACGTACACACACTCAAAGAGAAGAAAGTGACATGAACACAGACACAGAGATTGGAGTGATATGACCACAAACCAAGAAACACAAGGCATGACAGTTGCCACAAGAAGCTAGAAGAAGCAAGGAACAGGTTCTACTGACCTAATTACAGACACACACACACACACACACACTCCACTCAAAACATCCATAATAACAGAATACTTTTTTTTAAGAGTTCATGGAACATACACCAAGATAGAGCAAATCCTGGACCACACAGAAAAACACCAAAACAAATTTTAAACATTGAAATTATACAGAGTATGTTCTCTGACTAGATGGAAAATAATATTATTTTAGAAATCAGTGACTGAAAAACAACAGAAAAATGTCTAACAATGTGAAAGTTAAACAACACAATTCTACATGATTCATTTTAAAAGAGTAATTGTCCTAGAAAATAAAAAATGCATAAAATAGAATGAAAATGAAAATACAACATATTAAAATAAGTAGCACATAACTAAAGCACTGCTGAGAGAAATTTTAAGCACCAAATGCTTACATTCAAAAAGAGAAAGGGTTACAAATCAATAATCTAAGTTTCTATTTCTGAGAACTAGAAAAAGAGAAGCAGAATAAATCCAAAGCAAGCAGAAGGAAGGAAACAATGAATGTAAGAGTAATGATAAATAAAATTTAAAACAGGAAAACAATAAAGAAAATGAACAAAAAAATGATTTTTTGAAAAATATCAGGAGGCTGAAGGCAAGATGGTGGACAAGAAACACATCCAGCCAGACTGTCTTTGCAAGAAGGAAAGATTTTAGATGAAAGTGAAAAAAACAAACAGACAGATAAACATACATCAGATGACAGCAGGAAGGAGGAGTGCCTGCGCATACAGGAAACCCCATGAAAAGAAGTTGCAGACTAGAACTGGAAGGAGAAAGGTATGGGCAGAGTCGAAACCCTGAAAGGCTTGCAGACCAGTGACAAGAGTAGGTAAAGCTATTAAATTTCCCCTCCCTTACATCTCAGACTGCTGGTGGGCTCCCAAGCTGGTGGAGAGACCTGCAGACACCAGCCCAGAGACGGCTGCCACCAGTGAGCTGTGAGCCTCTTGGGGACAGGGCAATAGGCTCCCAGCTACCTCAAGTGCCTATTACCCCACAAGCCCCAGTTGATCAAGCCAACTGCCAGGAGCCATATTGATTCATTGTCCCATTCCCCTCCCTTACCGATGGCTGCCTAGAGAGAAAATTTAGCCACCACCTGGAGGCAGCCACAGGGAATGGGTCCTTTCATTATGGAGCCCTGCAGTGGACTGAGGAGTACTTGGACTGTGAGCTGCCTACTCACTGGCCAACCCTGATGCTGCTTGCCTGGTGACTCCAGCAGAACAGGGCAAACCTCAAGGCAGAGAGACATTGATCCAGCTTGGGCATACCCGGGGTAACTTGAGACCAGCTTTCTTCTCCCTGGGAGGGTCAGGG